ATGTCTGTCACAATCAATCGATATTCTATTTATATGCGATCTTCGAATTGCATCGGTTTTTCTCATATTAGTGCGGTCATTTTCGTCTGATAGCCTGCGATCTTCGAATTGCATCGGTTTTTCTCATATTAGTGCGGTCATTTTCGATTATCTGATAGCCCGTTAAACTTGTTCGGGTGTGCCAACGCATCGGTCTAATATTTTAACCCATTATTGTTCATGTTTTCTGCCCAATTCAGTCCGAACCGGTCTGTCCAAGTCCACTGGCTCTATTGGCGAAGACGTGTCAAAGCATCGGCCAAATGATGGAAGCTAGTGTGAATGGTCTGGCCCCAACACAGCCTGCTGGGACTTTACAGCGGTCGGCTATCAACTGTTCCGGTCCTGGTACTCAACTCAGCCCAACAGCCTCCACAAAACACAGCAAGATTAAAACTCACAGTCCGACGGAATCAAAGCCGACAGTCAACGCCAAGCGACCCGTTACTGGACGTACAAAATGGATGAAACCGGATGGTTTGTCCGCGGCTAGTAATCCTGTGAATGGGCTATCCCCACCGACGACACTTCATGGCGATCCCGTATCGTCCTCGCGTCAGTCAGCTCCACCCAGAGTGCCTATGGCTGGATCGATAGACGGGGTACCTGTTTCACAAAGAGCGACATTACAACACTGCGCAAAGTTTCCGAGCTTCTCCTGCCCAAGTAATGGACTAACAATTCATTCCATGGCAAACAAACCGTGCACCAATGACTTTACGCGTACATCTAACCTGGCTGCCGAGACACAGACCACGTCGAATGCGTTAGCTCAGTTAGCCCGCCTCTCATCTAGTCTTTCCTTACCCGAATCGCCACAAGCTCACACGGGCGCCGGCTTAGACAACCCAACGAACAAGGGCCGTTTCCATTGGACCGAACCACTGCGGGTGCAGACGGGGGTGAAACGAGCGCGACGATTCAGTGGGCCTAAATGTTACACGAATGCTTCTTCATCCATGTCTGGCAATTCCGCAACTATTCCCAGAAAAATTACACGCGAGACGCTATACCACTCTCAGCCGTACAGTGACTCGAACAATGGTGCCAGCTATTCACGCCTGGTGAATCCTTCTGGTTCTCCAAACAACTGTCAACCCACAGTGAGTCCTCAGTCCACCGCAAATTCTCGATGTTCCACCAACTTTCCTGCATTCACGTCGTCTTGGTTAGCGTTCACACAATTTATGCAGCAGCTCATGGAGCAGAAGGACAACAGCGCGCAGATGAGTAGCGCTCAAAACCAGGAGGTATTTTTCTACGGTTTGGCACGAAGTTTTATGGATTTATTCTATGCACGATTGATGAGCACACAGTCATCGACGCCCAACACTTCCGTCGGCTACCATGCTCCGAAAGATACTACTTCTACGTCCCAGACGTCAGTGCTTAATAGTAGTAACCCTGGACAAGTGCTCTCAAATCCACTGGGATTCATGACCAAACCTGGTCCCATCGAATCCGAACGTTTGAACGCCTCTGATCCTCTGAGTAGCAAATGTTTCCTATGCGGACATCAGTGCTCCAGTCAAACTGAACTCTGTCTTCACGTCTACTCTCATCTACTCATGTCCGAAAAAGAACAGACCGGTAGATCGGAAATTGCAGGCGTGTTTCGGAATGGCGTTAATGCGGAATTTACAGATCCCAAACCGCATTTTAATACCGCTTATCCGTACCCTGCATCGGTCTCACCAACGGACAGGAATCTCTACACTGGGAACTGCGATTCCAACCGACCGGCCCCCTTTAACCTCCTCACAGCACCGAGCTACTTGAGTGAATGGATATCATCAAAACAACAAAGAGATTTCGGTCTTCCCTACGCGTCATCAAATCCGCCCGAGACACCTCATCATGCGTCATCTGTTCCCAATGACAACTCACCCGCGTTTTCCGGTTCCAAACCAGCCCTCGTGGATAGTGGACTGCATGCCTACTGGCTAAAACTGCTTTCCACCTACACCCAGACATCTCCGAACGCGAAATATCCTGACCCGATTTTACAGCGTTTGGTGGATAGCAAATTCCCCACCCCAAACCCCACGTTGAGCAGCAGTCCCAACACCAGTACATCTCCCCCAGTCGGCACGAACAATGACAATAACAGTTACACCTTGAGTAACAATAATCACGGTTTGTGGAATCCCCTCATGTTCCCATTTTTCACACCTAACAATTCCCCACTAACTCTCTATCCGAAAGTCTGATTGGATTCGGTGAACACCTTCCCTTTTCCATCACAGCCACATACCCATCTCTGAGATTTTGTTACATTTTATGCCCTTTGCTTGTTCATTCCTCACTGATTTCTCACGCACCCCACCCCCCGCCCGCACAGTCATTGGATATTTTCTGGTTGCCGGACTATTTTTCTCCCCAATTGTGATCGAGCCTCAGGTAATTGTACACACACACACACACACACACCAACACCACTAGGCCACCTCTACATTGTGATGATGGATGTTTTTGCTGACCCCTGATGATTTCGCAGAACTTCTTGTGTTGCTCGTCGCCGGCTACCCGCGCGACCAATTGCCCCGCCCCCGTTGCTATCTTATACCCTAGAGACGGCGGGAAAAGTCAATCATGTACCATAAACCTGTGTTTTGGCACCACGTTCCGTTTGTACCGAACAAAGTCACAATTTACTATCAATTCAAAAAAAACTTATTCGGGCTTTCAGTGAGTTTGTGACTTTTTTCGAAATGCATCAGTGGCAATATCGTGAAGCTGCTATTCTCACGGATGGAGGGGTAACCCTTGGGTAACCTTGGCTTACGGCAGATCTCTTTCTCAGGAGTTAGTTACTGAAGCCAATCGAAGTGTTGCCAGAAACTTGGCCCTTCATGTAAGTACAGATGGATTGTATTTGCTAACTGGTCGCTCGGAGAAACGGAAAAAACTATTGGGAAACTGGTGTTGAAAGTGGCAAAAAGTATCTGAACTAAATACGCCGTGGCTTGGTAGTACATAGCGGATAAGGTTAATCTGGTAAGAAATCACGTCGGATTGAACAAACAAGCACAAATCCGGTGCCCATTAGCCGCACAACGCCCTCAGCTGAAAAAAACCTCTACGTGTGGTGTAACACCTTTTGCGGCTAAATGTTGCATTTTGTTGCGTACGGGCTCAAACCAAAAACCATTTAATCTACGCACACATTTTTGAAGCTCACCAAATTTCATTGTCCACTGACGAAACTCAACCCCTGGCGGAATAGTTTCCCAGCATCGCTGAGACCCCAGGATGCCTAAATGGGGCTCAAAAGTTTGAACTGGTACTCTTAATTCACTTGCCCGATTGCTTTAATCCATCAGGGGCACGTCATAGCTGTCGAAAATTCCATTTCATTGTGCGATTACTGAGCGCCCACAAATCCAGGCATGCGGTGCATTAGTTGAAGTAGCCGCTACGTCCGAATTACCGCCTGTGGTGACTAATCAAGAAAAACCGCTGAAAGCCCCAGGGTTATCAGATGAACTCCGGTAACTTTTCATGGGGTATCAGTTACATTTCTAAACTCTTTTCATTTAACACTTGATTTCATCCTACAAACGAAGTTAATCTGCCCTGAAAAGCCAAGATTCACCCGGCTATTGTTTCATCCCCGCCGGGAACCTCCAGAGAAATTTGCACCAGCGGCCTTCAGGTGATTAGTACGTGATACTTTGGCCGCAAGTGATTGGCTCGCACTTAACAGAATCACTCATGATTGGCTTACGCGATTCATATCACGTGATCATGTGAGGCAAAGCGTTCGTCTTTGAGTACCTAAGTTACTTTGTCGATGATGACGATGACTCAGTGACTGGCTCCTAGGATGACGACTTCTAAGTTGCAAAGCTCATACAACTTGAATTTTACAAATAAGCACGACGAATTTGTATTTCAGTTGGTTAACCTCACCTGCGCTTGGCTCGGTGCATTGAAAGAAAATGTGGCCAATCGATGTCAGTGGCGTTTATACTGTCAGTTTCTTTTCCAATGGTAACAACATTCGTTGTGTTTTGTATGCCAATTAACGTTCAATAGTGTACACACGAAGAGATACAACAGCAGCTGTGTCATACAGTAATTGAGTTTTTTTTCAAGTTGCACTGATGAACCGTAAGTATCCGATAGATGACTCGTCACAGTAGGGTAGGTAGCCAAACCGATAGACTCCCCGCTGCACTACAAGCGTAAGGCGAGGCATTGATGCTCCACTGTCACGCAACCACAGAGTTTATCTAACTGTGTTTGAAGTCTTAGGGTGAAAAGAAGACAAATGAGTCGGTGAGAAGGGGACTGGTTTTGACCAATCACATGCATTCTCAAACGCATCCTCCAAACGCTTTATTCAGGCAATCTGGAAAGAAGCTGACAGCATGAACGTCACTGGCATCTTGAAATGTCTCCAGCCAAGCGCAGGGGAGGTCACGAGGAATCCATCCTGAAAAGCGGTCCACACCAAAGACATTCACACTCTTCACAGCCTTCTTGCAAGTCGTACGTTGTCCAGTTCGCGGTCTGCACCATCTTGAAGGGAACAGGCAGAACAACACTTGTCTTGGCGGACGATGTTTCGCCATGGGTAACGCATGACGGAGCCACCGCAGGTGTTAATACCTGGATGTTTTCTACCGCACAACCAGACGCCCGTTTACCAATTACCCCATTACGAATCCGTCGACGCCATCCAACACCAGCAACTCTGCTGAATCATTGAGGGTCGAAGGCTTGAGGGTGCCTCACATCACTTACCGGCGGGGATCATCTCCCGCAACCACACAAAATACAGCCCTTACTGTAGCCTCGGAACTTGTTGATGTGCCTTTTCGACGCCAAAAGTGACAAAAATTAGAAAATGTGATTCTAGGCTTCGACATTCGTGCACTGACATCAGCAGACATACTCCCGTCAGGACCAACTCAACTACCGAGACGTCTAATTCTCCTCAACCTCCAGTGATTCTCCTTGAATTACAAGAAGTATGTTTGTACGTTCTGAACAATGAATTTACACTTTGAATGTACAAGGCGCATGTCGGAAGATGGTATGACGGTGGTCAGTTTATTCAACAGAGCTTGTGCTTTGCCTTCGTCTTCATCTTCATGGATGAAAACGAAGTTGTCTGCTACTCCAGATCATCGGTAAGTTTACTTCCAGTAACGATGTGGACATCGGATTTTGTAGTCTTTCCAGCGCTCAGGTCATTACGTCATTGGCGACGAATTGGAACAAGAACAGAGAGATTTGACGTCCCACACACCCGGTAGTATGTGAATGTGGGTAGCGGATCATGTTCAGCATCTTCTTTGGCATTTCCTGTTGGGTAAGTGTGGTGAAGCTCACTGACCGATCGACGGGATCGAACAAAGCCTTGAAGTCAATGAACACCAAGATTGTGGGTTGCCTGTACATATGCCTCTAATTTAACAACTTGCAGAGTGTGGAGCTGTGGTCGGCCATCCTCTAGCCGATCGAAATCCGGCTTGATTCTCAAGGGTCAAAGTTTCGCGTGGAGTCTCGGTGATGCCTTACGCCTTTTTACAACGGGAGTATAACTGAAACCCCTTCCAACTGAATGGTAGATCTCAAGAACTGCTCTAACCGTCGATGATACCGGTGTTCGACCAGTTTTTTTTGTCAGATACTATGTATGTCAAGCTAAGAGAAACGCACTTCGAAGTGCCAAGTGTTCTGTCCGTCTGGCACGTGTGTGTGTGTGTGTGACGTGGGTCATCCAGTAGGTAAGACGGAAGTAGTGCTTTGAAAGATTGCATTGATGAGCCTGTGCGCAGGGGTTGTCTTGTGCTGCCATGAGAATGTGCAACGTATGAGTACTATAACTCATGGACAGCGTTCTCTGTCGAATTACCAGACTAGGAGTATTCATAAACTGCACGCGATAAGTACACAGTGGATTCACCGTGGAACTGGTTCTCTGAGGGCAGGGGATTTCACGAAGGTTTCCTTAACTATTAAAGAACTAGAGAAAGACTTCAGAGGCCGAGGTTCAACATGCAAGGTAGAACGAATGACCAACGCTTACACAGAAATCACGCGATTACAGTCGTTTCATGCGCTACAAGCTCACCCCGGCAAAACAATCAACCCAGTGCGATGTGTTACAGACCATAGGGTCGAAACGCTGGCAGCTTTTGATCTGTTCGCTGACGTTGACAATCAACTTGCAGATTTTTCGTCACCAGACGAGGAGATATCCTCAGTGCACATCTGAATAAGTACTTGTTCCTGACTCGCGCGCGTCTATACAGCTTCTGAGGAGTATCTGTTCTCTCCTGACATGATTGGTTAATCGGTAGAGTCTTCTCATGAAACCATTAGAAGAATGGGAAAGTGCCAGAAGTTGAATATGATATGTATGGGGGGATACTGTGATTTCGTTCGAAGATAAAACACACTGGACTTTCTCAAGTCGGTTCCAGAATATTCCCACATAAGACATGCCGTTTGAGACAAGTGAAACGGGGAACTAACACTGTGAAATTTGCTGTGATTAGATGGTGTTCACTTACTCAGTGAACCCGAACCAAATGGGTTCTGAATAAATCATATAGTTGCGACTCTTTGCAGTACGAATGAGTACTGGACACTCTCATACAGTAAGCTATTTCAATTAGGAAAAGACGTTTTTGTAGGTTTTTGTCTTCTGTGGTCGATTGGGTCCTTTTGTACGTCGGTTCTTACTATATAGAAATTATTTTGCTGTTTGCGCCACTGAGTTGGAGAGCTTGAGCCGCCTCATCTCATTCTTTCTGGAGTTTGGAAGAACTCGCGTTCAGAAGTATGTGAATGGACTTAGGCGCTTGAATTAAGAACAACAAGAAGTTTTGACGCACAAAAATGTCGCTAGTCATCACCCATCAGAGTGCGCAATCTGGAAAGGCCATAATAGCGTGCCGCACAAATTATGTGTAGGGAAAAGAGCGACCGCTTGGGGTCTGGATGGATGACCATCTGGCGAAAGCGTGCTGATATCGATCGTGTGCAAACGAATCAACCAATCAGAAAACGCGCGCGTCATGTCAGCCTAGTGAGCTTGGTTTCCGAAATTGATCGATATGTTTAGGCTGAGCAATCATTAAAGTGGCCGAACATGTGAGCCAGGCCGTTGCTCTGAACCCGCCAGTCACAAGTTCCTGTGCCTCTATCTTCGAATGGCGATTTTACTGGTTACATCCACTCTTAGGGCAGGTTACCGTGGTGAACAGCTACATTCATTGTCTAGGTTAAATCTTGTGTTTGTCTCTGTTCAAAAATTGACTCTACCTCCTCGGTAGTCGGTCCAAGCTGATTTACGGCGGTCCACAAAACAGTAATGTTCCATCCGGATCGGTAGGTTATGCAAGAGAGCAGGGCTCGAGTTTGCTCGACCCAACGAAATATTTTATGGTTTCCTACTTGACCCCGTCAACTTGCGTTTAAGGCTCATTTTCCGAGAATTCTGTCACCATTCTTTAGAATAAGATCTAAATGAAGTCGCCTGCTATATTTTTGGAGAGAAAACCTCATTGGTTTCAATCAACGCATTGCGATCCGGTATATTTTTACTAAAGAGGCACATGGAAAACGTTATTTCTTTGTGGTGATGATGAGGTGCTGGCTTCAAAGCTTCATGAATTGTGTCTGCCAACAGGTAACAATATGAGTGACCAGCTGAATAAACGACGATTCTCATTAGCGAATATACACTCATTGGCAAACTAATTTGGTTTTTCGGGAGACTCACCTGGAACCCAGCTGAATCTCTCGTTTGTGATGTTTCCAGTCAACTGAATGTGCTGC